TTAAGTTTAGAGAAAAAAAATTAAAATCTTAGATTTTTAATATAGTATATTGTTGGATTCAATAAATAAAATATCTATTTTCTAAATTATTAAAATTGCATAATAACACATTTAATTTGAAATCATCTTTTTGTCAGAACCAATAAAAAAAAAAGACAAGGTCTAATATATATTATAGGGTGAATTAGCTTAATATTACTCTTGGTGTATATAATTAGGAGAGTAACATATGTGTAATTAAATTTAGGTGAATAACAAAGAGAACAAATAATTGGACAAAAATACTCTCATTTAATTTGGTAAGGAATGAATATATCCTTATTTTTTATGTAGTAGTCCATGAAATTTGAAATCAAGGAAATAATTATATAGTTAACTATTTTTCTACTTTATACGTTGTTTGTAGTTAATTATTCAATTAATAATATAGTAAATTATATAATCTTTACAATAATTAATTTAATTGTAATAATATAGTTAACTATATAATCTTTATAATCATATATCTTTTAGTATGTTTATCAAGATAGTTAACTAAATAATATTTATAATTAAACATAGTTGACTAGATTCAAAATATAGTTAACTATTTTCAGAGTATAGTAATTTACTCTATTGATTTCAATACATAGTTGACTACATGAAAATATTGTTGTAATAGTTAGTTATTTAAACAAACATAGTTAACTATTTCAAAAAATAGTTACCTATTATAAAAAAAACAAATAACATACATATAGACTATTATCATAAACATAGTTAACTACTGTAGTAAAAAGTTAACATATATAGTAAGATATAATGAGAAATATACCTTTTCAACATAGTTCACTATGTTAATTTTCATCGACCGGTCAGTGTGACGAAAAGAAGGATGATGGTGAATGAGGAGTTGAACGGAGAAATACCATCTTAATTCACGATTAAAGATTTTAATTTAGGGTAACGAGTTAAGACAAAATAAATTGAGAAAGAAAAATACGAAATTGAATATAAACAAGATCAAATGAGAAGAACAAGAAATATATGAGAAGAACAAGAAGAAAAATTACAACAAAAAAAAAGGAAGAGGAAGTAGCAGGGGTAGCGTGAGAGTCTTAGAGGAAAGAAGAAGAAGAAAGAGAGATAATTAAGGAAAGTTTAAATTATGATTTAATTTTATTTATTTTTAGATGTAAAAGGTTGTGCAATTAGTTAAGGGTAAAATTGGA